AAACATGGAACTGACATAAAAAACACCGTGGAAATAAACGTTTTTTGTGTGCAAATATATTTATGTGTATAAATGAATTACCAAAAACGGTGATCACAGCAATGACATGAAAAGAGTAAAAGCCAATATACATCTTTTGTATTTACCACACTGTCTAACCCCAGGATAAAAGATGGATTTAATTCCTGGTTGGCCAGGAGATGAGACTTTAACTAATTTACTGATAGGATTACGTAGCAAACTCATATGAACTGTTGGATGACAGATATTCTATCATACCATGAGTTAAAACCAAGTAACAGAAAAGACTGGAAAAAAAAGTTTATACTTTAGTAAGTATACTATACTTGCTATCGTATACTATATATACTTACAGTACACTTACTAGAGTATAAACTTTTTATATTCTACCACATATTTTGTAATTAAGAAAATAATACTCCTTGAAAAATAAACCTTTCCAAAAGCTAAGAACTACTTTCTCATATCCTTTCTTTTCCTTCAGTCTCATAAATGAGAAAGACCGTCTATGAAGACAGTTAAAAAATGGTAACAAGTCTGTCCCGGTGCTTTTCAAACTTTAATGTGCATATGAATCATCCAAGGATCATTATTTCTTGAATCATGTTACCACATGATTTGAGGGGCTGAATAATGGCTCCCCAAAGATATTTACAACCTGATCCTTGGAATTTGTGAGTGCTAATTTATATGCCAAAAGGGACTTTGCAGATGTGATTAAATTAAGAACCTTGAGATGGGGAGATTATCTTGGATTATCTGACTGGGCCCTAAACGTAATCGCAAGTGTCCTTATGAGAGGGAGGCAGGAGGACACAGAGTGAGAAAAAGGCGATGCAAACAGAGAAAGAAAGAGACTGGAAGATGCTACACTGATGTCTCTGAAGATGGGTTATGAGCCAAGGAATACAGGCAGCCTCTAGAAACTAGAAAAGGCAAGGAAATAGATTTTGCCCTAGACCCTACAGAAGGAATGCAGGCTTGTGGCACCTTGATTTTAGCCCTGTAAAACTGATTTCAGACTTGTGTTCTTTTAAGCCACTAAATGTGTTGTAATTTATTACAGCAGCGATAGGAAATACAAATCATAATTTCAATTTCTTTAAAAAGGAATTTACACTATTACAGTGTTTATAACAAAAAATATAATAATAACTAAAACTCCAAAAAGAAATTTAAAAATTATGCACAATCACTAAAAACTATCATAGAAAAATTTTAACTATGCAGAGCACATGAGGATATATTAGGATTTTTAAAAAGCAGGTTACAATATAATTTTGAAAAATTTTACATGTACATATTTTAGGTTTCTTATAGTGCTACGGACTGAACTGTCTTCCCAGAATTTATATGTCAAAGTCCTAACCTCCAACATGACTATATTTGGAGATAGAGCTTTTAGGAGGCAATCAAGGTTATTTGAGGTCATAAGAGCAGGGCCCTCATGATAGGATTAGTGCCCTTAAAAGAAGAGGTGCCTGAGAGCTTGCTTGCTCACACTCTCAATCTCTCTCCCTGTCATGTAAGAACACGCCAGAAGGCAGTAGCCATCTGCAAGCCAGGAGGAAAACTCTCACCAGAAACCAACTATGCTAGCACCTTGATCTTAGACTTCTAGCCTCCAGAACTGTGAGAAAATAAAGTTCTTTTAAGCCACCCAATCTATGGTATTTTGCTATGACAGCACAAGCTACTACAGATTTTAGTACTGAGAAGTGGGTACTACTGTAAGGAATACCTAAAAATGTGGAAGAGACTTTAGAGCTGGGTAGTGGATGGAGGCCAGAAGAGTTTATGGATGTTAAGGGGGATTCTGGTGAGGTCTCAGATGAAAATGAGGAACACGTTATTGGAAACTGGAAGAAAGGTGATCCTTGTTATAAAATGGCAAAGAACTTGGCTGAACTGCTTTCTAGTGTTTTGTGGAAGACGGAACATGTAAGTGATGGAACTGGATATTTAGCTGAGGTTTATAAGCAAAGCATTGATGGAGTGGCTTGGTTCCTCCTGCTTACAGTAAAATGCAAAATGAGAGATATGAATTGAAGAAGGAATTGTTAAGCAAAAAGGAACCAGAAACTGAAGGTTTGGAAAATTCTCAGCCTATCCACATTGAAAAAATTAGATAGCTGCTCTGAAGAGAACACCCAGTGTGTGCCTAGACCATCACTCTATAAATAATTTATGGGATTATATGAGCAGAAACAATGACAGTTTGAACTGATGGGGATGGAGACGGGACAAAATGAAGGCAGGATGTTGGACTTCTTGAATGTGACAGGACTGGATATAGCTATTTTGCAGTAAACACGCTATTCTTTAAGAAAAGTGAGAAAAACTCTTCAGGAAAAAGCAAAAAATGAGGGGCCAGCCGGGGCTGTAGTGGTTAAGTTCGCATGTTCCGATTCAGCGGCCCGGGGTTTGCCAGTTCAGATCCTGGGTGTGGACCTATGTACCGCTTGTCAAGCCATGCTGTGGCAGGCGTCCCACATATAAAGTAGAGGAAGATGGGCATGGATGTTAGCTCAGGGCCTATCTTCCTTAGCAAAAAGAGGAGGATTGGCAGATGTTAGCACAGGGCTAATCTTCCTCTAAAAAAAAAAAACAAAAAGAAAAAAAAGAAAGAAAAAAGTGAAAAATGACCCTGAAGGTGATTCAGGGGTCATCAGGACTATGCCTCAGTTTCAACAGACCAGATGGCCTCTGCCAGAGGCCATGAGGGGCAGGACCTCCCAGCAGACCCTGGGAGTAGGTCTCCTGCCTAGAGCTGTAGGGGGTGATGCTGACACTCCAGTGGGCCTGGAAGGCAGAGTATCAAACCAAAGAGGATTATTGTCAAGCCTTAAGATTTAACGGAATTTGCCTTGCTAAGTTTTGGACTTGCTTGGGACCCATCAATCTTTTCTTCCATCTGATTTCTCCCTTTTAGATTGGGAATGTCTGTCCTACCACTGTCTCACCATCGTATTTTGGAAACACTTTGGTTTCACAGGTTCACGGATGAAGAGGAATTATGCCTCAGAAAGAATTGTACCTTAATCTCACCCCATATATGATTTAAAGGATATTTAAATGAGACTTTGAACTTCAGAATTGATGCTGGAATGAGTTAAGACTTTAGGGGCTGTGGGGATGGAATGAACATATTTTGCATGTGAGAAGGACATGAATTTTGAGGGGTCAGGAGCAGAATGCTATGGAGAGAATTATGTCCTCCCCAAAATTCACATGTTGAAACCCTAACCTCCAATATGACTGACTGTATTTGGCAATAGGGCTTTTAGGAGGTAAATAATGTTAAATGAGGTCATAAAGGTGGAATCCTAATCTGATAGGATTGGGGCTTTATAAAATGAAGAGAGAAAGATCTCTCTCTCCATGTGCATCCACTGAGGAAAGGCCTTCTGAGCACACAGCAAGAAGGCAGCTGTCTGCAAGCAAAAAAGAGAACCTTCACCAGAACCAGACCATGCTGGCACACTCATCTCAGACTTCTAGCCTCTAATACTGTGAGAAAACTCTGTTGTTTAAGTCTATGGTATTTTGTTATTGCAGTCCATGCAGACTAAGATTTAAGTGTATATTATAACTCAAAAAATAAATTCTTTTTGGGGCTGGCCCCGTGGCCGAGTGGTTGGGTTCGAGCGCTCTGCTGCAGGCGGCCCAGTGTTTCGTCGGTTCGAATCCTGGGCGCGGACATGGCACTGCTCGTCAGACCACGCTGAGGCAGCGTCTCACATGCCACAACTAGAGGAACCCACAATGAAGAATACACAACTATGTACCGGGGGCTTTGGGGAGAAAAAGGAAAAAAAAAAAATAAAATCTTTAAAAAATAAATAAATAAATAAATAAATAAATTCTTTTCAGCAATAGCAACAACTTTGGAAGGCTATGGTATGTAAATTTTATTGAAAAAGAGTCACATACAAAAAAACTTTATATTCAGGGACAGTTCTTTAAAGTACAGCGTTCTAACACTTAATAAAATGATATTCTACAATATCTTATGCCTGGTAACACTGATATTTATCACTTACGACTCCTCCCTCTCTTGATGTTATGATCTGAGCAAATAGAATATAAAATGATGGGTAATTTTTTATAATGACTGCATTAATTATAATAAAAATATATACCTTAAAGCCCTCAAAAATAAAATAGTTAGGGACCAGCCCTGTGGCCAAGTGGTTGGGTTCATGTGCTCCACTTCAGTGGCCCAGGGTTTTGCTGGTTCGGATCCTGGGTGCGGACATGGCACCGCTAATCAGGCCATGCTGAGGCAGCGTCACACATAGCAGAACCAGAAGGACCTACGACTAGAATATACAACTATGTACTGGGGGGCTTTGGGGAGAAGAAGAAAAAAAATTTTTAATAAAATAAAATAAAAATAAAGTAGTTACAATCAGTCATCCTAAACTAGTCATTTGAAATTATTCCTACATAATTAGGGTGACCATATGCCTGATTTGCCCGGGACAGGCCCAGTTTATGTCCACTGTCCTTGTATAATTGTTAACAGTACCCACTTTCACTCTCAAAAAAGCCCTGACCAACTATGGTTATTCTATGTATAGTAAATTACAGAATAATTATGTGTTTAAAATTTTATAAATTTTAGTGTTCAATCTGAGACAGGAAATACCACCACTAAAATCTGGAAAATATGCCTGTCACAGTATACAATATTAAGTTACTTAAATAATTTTCTTCTACTGGGAATCAAAGTAAATTCTATGAATGAACTGAGAGGTTACTAAGAAGAACCAGGTAGGGGCCAGCCCCATGGCAGAGTGGTTAAGTTTGCGTGCTCTGCTTCAGCGGGCCAGTGTTTCACCAGTTCGGATCTTGGGTGAGGACCCAGCACCACTCATCAGGCCATGCTAAGGCAGCGTCCCACATAGCAGAGCCAGAACAACTTACAACTAGAAGATACAACTATGTACTGGGGGACTTTGGGGAGAAGAAAAAAAAAAGAAGTGGCAACAGATGTTAGCTCAGGTGCCAATCTTTAAAAATAAAAAAGAACCAGGTGCCAAAACATTCTTAGATGATTTCGAAACAATTCAAGAATCCAAATTTTAAACTTATTCAAGCAATATTGAGATTATTAAAGGAAAAGGTCAATACACCTTATTTCAAAAATGTAGAAACAACTAACTGTGAGCTTATCAACTTGACTATTCTGGAAGATAAATTCTTGATGGGGTAACAGCTCCAAAGTCCCTCCTTTAACATTAAAAAATAACATAAATAATAAACAAATAGCTTAGATTTTAGGATTGGGATCACTAAAACCAGACTGGTCAACTAAAATTTGTATACTACCCATAAAACTGAATATAATGACATGCTGACTCATGGTGCTAGCCTTTCTTTATAATAGTAAAAACGGGTCATTTTTAAGAATTATCAAAGCTATATTTAAAGAGGAGAATAAAATAGGAATGTGAAAAATATCTTTTCTTCCTAGCAATTTCTGGGCAATTAGCAAAAGAGGGAGGAAACAAAAGTCTGAATAGTAAATTCATATTGGCCACATGAGATAAGCATAATACAATACCTGTATCATCTCTACTGAATGATACTAAAAATGAAAACAGGGCAAAATTTAATTATAGAACACGGCTTTAGAAAAACTCTTTCATAACATCATATTCATTAAGTATTTTTCCCACTCATTTCATATATTCCTGATTCATTCATGCCATAGTGTGTATTTATATTTTAATAAGTCTACTACTTGTATACATTTATCTCACAGCATCAATACATTTGTATACTTTGAGACTAGTCTTTGGATTCCTGTTCTTCCTCTGATTCTCGTGACCGTTTTCGGTAATTCAATGAACCTTCTGTTTGCAATGAACATGAAGTAGCAACAACAGCATCTCTAAATCCTTGAGGCTGCAAGATGAAAAAATATACAAGTATGCTTTTAGAACATCTAAAATAATGATTGGTTTTCTAATATTTTAAAGTAATTAATAGGAGAGCTACTTTATTCTCAGGATAGAAGTTATCAACCACTGTGCCTAAAGAGGATAAACCTCATCGATAGGTATCCAGGTCAGGGCTGCAGTGGAGTATTTTATATCTAGAGTATTTTACATCTATTTGTTTATACATACACATACACACACACAGAAATAACATTGTGTTATAAAAACGTTCTCTAAAAGACAATCCTAACAAACTTTATGGTGGCTCTACTGGAAGAGCTGAAAGGAAGTAACATGTACTAATTACTTAAGGGCTCTTTACAAATTTATTTTCACAATTAAATACTCTAAAGTTTTCCAATTAAATGTACCTGGAGAGTGCAAAAACTAAGTAGATAATTCAGTTTCAGAATCTCTATTTCTGTTTTTGTCCTTAAAAAAAGAGATGCCAAGAATATATTTGGTTTGACACTATTGATAAATATGTGTATTTCAGCCAAAAATGTCTGTTCTAATGATGCAAAATTACAGAAAAAATTAACATTTTAAAGCGAGATATATTTGGTGGCCACAATAGATCTGTAATATCTACAGACCAAAATGAGTAACGTTGGTATTTTTTCTTTTCTGAAAATCTTTAACAACTTTCACTTTTAAAATCTTTAATATCCTGACATTACATATGGCATGGAACACACTACCCTACAAATAAGTATTTCCTCTGTTCTTAAGAATAAATTTCAGTCCAATTGTGACTAGAGTATTCTGTATATATACTACTATTTTGGGAATAACATTCTAAGTATCAAAAGCTGTCCTCAAATATGCTTGCTGCCTACAGAAGTTAACAAAGGCAATTTGTAAATGTTCTCTTCAGATAATTACTGCCCACCAACACCAAAATGCACTCTAATCAAATAATACTGACTGTGATTTGAAACAGTACTGCAGATTCCTTCTGGCTTGGTGATTTGTACAATGTTGCCAACCTGCTTAGAGAAAAAGAATAAATATACACAGACACATGATTGTAATTAATAAGTTCAGATGACTAATTTCATAATTTAAATTTATAGTTTTTTACTATAATTCTATTATTTGTTCTCTAAGGACAGAGAAAGCAAAGAAATATAGAAACCACTCCCTTCTAACAACAGCTATATGTATGCATGTAATAATATCAACAGAGTTCTTTACATAAATGAAATTTTAAAGCAACCTAAAAGTCCAATTCAAATAAATTATTTTATACATGACAAGATACTATTTATGCTTAAGTAAATAAAGTGGGAGAAAATATTTATGATAGAAAAATAATATATTAAGTAAAAGTTACACTGCATGATCCCACAAGTATGTATACACACATATGTAGAAAAATTACTAGAAGACTACAATAAAAAAGTTAAGTTGTCAATACAAGGTAAAGGTTGTTTTTTTGTTTATATCTTCCAAATTTTCTGCAGTAATTGTGTATTTTTTGTGTTCTAACATAAGTATTAAGATGATTTCTTGGAATATAAATGAGGAACACACACTCATATTATACTAATACAAACAAGCCAGGAAGACACATTCTTTCAAAATGATTATGTCCAGAAAAATCACTGTCATGACAGAACAAGGTCTGTTTAGGTAGGATTTTATTATGTACTCTACAAAGTAAATAATATAAAACTGAAAGCTGAAAGTAGTTGAGAAATAAAACTCCAAGCTCTTATTAGCTAAGTTCAAATACCATAACAGCAACAAATATAAGCAAAAACTTTTGAAGTGCCTTTTAAAATTACTTTAAAACTGACATAATTTATTCACAATAGCCAAAAGGTAGAAGGAACCCAAGTGTCTGACAGAAGAAGAGATAAACAAAATGTGGTATATACATACAAGGGAATATTATTCAGTCTTAAAAAGAAATTCTGACACACGCTACAATGAACCTGAAGACATTATGCTAAGTGAAACAAAGCCAGTCACAATAGGACAAATACTGTATGATTCCACCTACATGAGGTGCCTAGAGTAGTTAAATTCATAGAGACAGAAGGTAGAATGGTGGTTGCCAGAGGCTGGTTGGAGGGGAGAATGGTGAGCTAGTGTCTAATGGGTATGGAGTTTCAGTTTGGGAAGATGAAAAAGTTCTGGAGATGGTGGTGATGACTGCACAATAATGTAAAAGCACTTCATGCCACTCAACTGTACACTTTAAATGGTTAAAACGGTAAATTTAATGCTACGTATACTTTACCACAATTTTTAAAAACTCTAATATAATTGCAGAAAATGCAGATTCTAACTTAGAGGAAAATCACAGACTCCCAGAATTAAAAGGGTCATTTACTTACATATAATACAATGTTGATTTGTTTTGGAAGACAATTCAAAAAAGACATCTTGATTTATGACCCTTTTACTCTCTTAATTTTGAAATTGCTCCTCTGCTCTGGCACAAATCAAAAGAGAAGCAATCAGAGACCATGGTCCATTAGCTTCATGCTTTAGGTTTATACTTTCAGGATAAAAACAGTAGAAACTAAAATGTCATATATTTTATAATTATAACTATATACATAAATAAAACAACTGCTAAGTAATATGTAATACAAGAATAGTTGTGTTAGGGAGTGAGATTATACATTTTTATACTGCTTTAGGGTTGATATTCTATCTTTAATGCAAAATATAACAGAAAATAGGGGCATGGTGTATTTTAACCCACCTTACTAAAAAAAAAAAATCACTCCCTTTTTTTGATTCAATAAAATAAAAATTAGCAAACTCTCTCAAAAACTAGTACCTAAATCACCCCATATCACCATATGGCCAAAAAGGTACCTAGTGCATCTGACTTTTCTGAGAAAATTATTAAAAAGTAACTAAGCTTTTAAGAAGCATTTACATGGTTATTAAGAATCCTAAGTCAAATGGGCATTAAGCATTCAGGTTGAAAATCTTCCTCAAATTTATCAGTAAAAATAAAATTTTCTTATTTCATGTCTGCATCTTGAGAGATCTTTTTAAACAACAAACTAAACCAAAGAATCACTTGGCTCATGGCCCCAGCAGAGATGAAGCTTAACATATGGCTGAACTACATAGTTTGGGTCAGGAAGAAACAAGACAGAAGCACAATTTGTGCTCTAAAGCTGAGCACACATATGAAACATTGTGTGGGGGTGTTGATATATTACTCCACTCTACCACCAGATCTTCTTGGCAAAGAGTAGTATAATTCCGAACAATCTCGGCCTCATATTATCATGAATATGCAAATTGGAGGAAAACCCACACAATATACAAGACAGAGACAAAAGTTAATTCGTTTAGTAACAGTTGGAATGTTATTCCATCATTAGTCAAAGAGTAAAAATCAGGTGTTTCTGGTGAAGGATGGGGCATGAGGTAAGACACTTAGGTTAAATGTCAATATAAATTTGGCTAGTCAAGGTTTTTAGTTTTCTGCTCAAACTGGAAGTGTTCATTTTTATAACTATTTTCCCCTAGTATGAAGTTCTATTTCCATCCTTTCAAGATAAACTAAATTTTAAAACGCATACAAGATTTCATGCAACTTGAATGACTTAAAGGTATCCGGTTTCAAACAATGAAGAACAAAACTATTTTAATTCTATTAAATGAGGCCAACTTATTCTGATTATAACAAAGTATGCACATTCCTGACCATATATCTACAGACTGTGGAAAAAAAAGAAGTTTAGAGAAAAAGGATTTTACCAAAAAAGAGGATTAGAACTATACCTTTAGATCTGCTGGTAATCAATGAATACTAGAAACAGCAATTATAGGAGAAAAGGAATGGACTCTATTATAGAGTCAGCTATAAAATGTAGATACTACTACCTATTCCATAGAGTTATTTGGAAAATAAAATGAAATAATATATACAGACACAAACACATACACACACACACACACATATACACAAACACACACACAGTGCTTAGCACAACAAAGAACAGTTAATAAATATTCAATAAATGGTAGCAATTATTTACTACTTAATCTTTCTGGGCCTTGGTCTTCTCACTGTTAATGACCATAGGTGTAGATTCTTCAAAGAGTTATTGAAGGGATTATATGAAATGTTGTATACAAAGTGCCCAATTAAACACAAGCAAGCACGCACTGAAATGACAGTGTGGGATACACGAAAATTTTTATAGAACAGATTTCCCCTAAATCTATCTATTCAATGTTAGTGTTCTATACCATTCTCTAATTTCTTGGGAAGGATAAGTCAGAAGCTCAAGTCAGCGGCTGGCCCCATGGCCGAGTGGTTAAGTCTGTGTGCTCCGCTTCAGGGGCCCAGGATTGCACTGGTTCAGATCCTGGGCGCGGACATGGCACCGCTCATCAGGCCATGCTGAGGCGACATCCCACGTGCCACAACTAGAAGGACCCACAACTAAAAAATACACAACTATGTATTGGAGGGCTTTGGGAGAAAAAGGAAAAAAAAAAACTTTCAAAAAAAAAAGAAGCTTAAGTCATAAAATGGTTAACTCTTAAAAAGTAACCATGATTTTCTGATCTCACAGGTACCTAACGAATGCTAACTTTTTGAATTTGACAAAGAAGGAAGCTTCTCCTTCTGATGAATACATAAAAAAATGAAACATCTTGCTCTGCTCCTATTATTTTTCTTATTTCTTAGATTTATTCTATTAGTGAGTATTTAATAGGAGAATCAAAGTGGAAGACTACTATGATATACTAGCTTAAGGGGAATTCCTAAGAACATTAAATAGTGGGATGCACTTTACAGAAAACCAAAATCTGGGAAAGTATAAGCAATGTGTTCAAAAGACTCTCATCTGGAGAACTGTTGCCAAATCTTTACAATAGGGTTTGTTGCTGAGAAAAGAATTCCTTTTGTAAGTGCACTATACAACGACTTATTTACAGAATTGGGGGTGGGGGTGGGAGTCAATTGTAAAGCACTGTGTATTAGGGAAAAAAAAGAGTTACCTGAGCTCTTTGGAAATGCCATCTTTAAAAGAGACACAAACTGCATGAATTAGCTGCAAAAAATTTATGTAAGTGTGATCGGTTCTGCTAGAGCTCAGTCAGTAAAACTTAACTTGGTCAGGCATGATGTTTTTCAGTTTGTAGAAGAACAAAAAAATGCAGATAGGGGCCGGCCCGGTGGTGTAGTGGTTAAGTTCACACATTCTGTTTCTCTGCGGCCTGAGGTTCACGGGTTCAGATCCCGGGTGCGGACATGGCACCGCTTGGCAAAAAGCCATGCTGTGGTAGGCATCCCACGTATAAAGTAGAGGAAGATGGGCATGGATGTTAGCTCAGGGCCAGTCTTCCTCAGCAAAAAGAGGAGGATTGGCAGTAGTTAGCTCAGGGCTAATCTTCCTCAAAAAGAAAAAAAGGAAATATCACTGCCCAGACCCAATATGTATTTAAGCAACCCTTTTTTCCATCTTTGCCCACACACTTTCTCAATTTTCCATTTTTATTATAGTATTTCCAAACCTAGTTCTCTAGGTTATACCAATTAATCTCAAAGCAGAGAGGCTGGCATAAATTCGACATTTCTAGAAGTAGAGAATAAAAGACTCTACAGCTTTCAATTGCCTATTTTAAAGAAAATGAAAACCGCTTTGTTCACTTGCTCAGCAGCTTTAAAAACAAACAACAAAGGTTTCATGTTGCCATAGTTTTATTTTAAAGAACAATACTTGTGAAGGGCAGGTAAGTAACTGGATGACAAAAGTAGGATAAGAAAACAAAAATAGAAACAATTTCATACGAGAAATATACTAACCAACTAAAAAAACCATCCTATTTTCCATCTAAATTAGTCCTAAAGTGAACCTCAAAAGTTTCCCTTTTGTCTTGATTTTATTCTTCTTTCAATTCCTTCCAGGAACACAGAGTACCCACCTCCTTCTGTGTGGCTAATAAACGGTACGTGATTTCAAGGAGCTTTAGAAGGTAGCATTCCTTGGCCACCTACTCATTTCAGGTGCACCCCATCATTTAACTATTCCAAAGAATTTCCTATGGAGCTAAACGTGTAGTATAACAACATGTTTCCATGTTTGCTCTAGGTGATCAAGGAGAAGGCCACAAAAGCTTTAGTTCCTGGGGCACTGTAGATCTCATGCACTGGACTGGCTCTAAGAAACTAGTGAGTGTTCAGCGTAATTAACCCAATATTCAGAATCCTTAATTTGTTCTATACTGACCTTTGCTTTTGGTCCCAATGAAAAATAAGCCGTATTGTAGCAGCATGTCCCCAGCTTTCCCCTGAGGGAAAAAAACCATAATAGTTGTATGTTGTCTTACTGACTAGGTCATAAGTCTCTCAGAATTCCTCTGACCAAATGCAGTTTTACTTTACTTAATTTAATATAATGAGAGTACACTTGGTTTCAAAAAACCTGTACATGGGAAACATCCTGAGATTAATAAATGTTTACCCATCCATGGAAATACTGCACATCATCCTCTATCTGCTTTTAGAAAACTTTATACGTTGAGTCAACATACTTGTCAGCCTTTCATATCATCAGGCCCACTGACACATTTCTAAACACCAGAAGAAAAGCAAAAATTCTGACAGAATATTCTTAAAGATTTTAGTAGAAATAAATCTTGAAGCATTGTGTTCAAACAAAACCATGACAGAGGTTAGGAAGAGACTCATAAGTCTATTCACTGTAGTGTGACTTGTATTTAAATGGATTCACCATGCTCCTGCCTAAGACTGAGCTTTCTGAGGGCAAGAGTCATCTTACAAATATTTATATGCTGAGAACCTGATATAATAGTTGCCAGATAGATGCTCAACAAATGTTTACTAAATAACTGAAAGGAAAAATTAGTATCTAAGGGCACTGTGCTCCATGTTTATATTTATCAGTGAACAAGACAGATACAGGCTCTGCTTTCGTGGAGCTTACAGTACTCAACAAGCATCAAATGAAAGAGGGAGGAAAAAAATGTGTTTAACTAAAAATGCTTATTTGATTAATTACCCACCCAATGCAGGAACTAGCAAGGCCTGATTTCTATCAATCTTTGTTGTCATCTGATTGGTTAAAATTACCTACAAAACAAAATGTGAAAAAATTAGGTGAGTCTCCCCCAAAAATGCAACTTCAGTATTCTGAACATAATTTAAAGAAAGACATATTTAGGTAATAAAAAGTTTTATGATAAATTTTTAATTTACCCATAAAAATGAGTAGCTGTCTGAAAACATGATTCTATTGAACAGAAAACATTTTTTAACAGACAAGAACAAAGTTCTTATTGTGAAAATAGAAGAATAAAAATATAATAGATAATACATAAAGGTCTAAAGAGACTATGTGTAAGAATTTTGTAACTAGGAGCATTGGAAAAACCTCACTTTTAAGTTTTGTATAAGCCAATAGAAACAACCAGAGCAATAACAACATCAGTAGTGGTAACAAACATTTATTACTTAATATTAATTAACATAACATTGAGTACTTAATTTATGCCAGAAACTATGTTAAGTGGTTTACCTTTATTATTTCACCTAATCTTCACAACTACTCTATGAATAAGGTATTATTATTATATTGTTATTCCAGTTTAACACATGAGGAATCAGAAGCTTAGAAAGCCTGAGTGTTCTTTACCACTGTTGCCACTCTAGAATATACTTATTCAAAGGATATAAAATCCTTAATAAATAACTCACTGTTTACATTTTTAGGGAAGAGACAAATAACAGTATTACCATTTGTAATTTTACAGAAAAAAGAAACTGAAGCAAAGAATTACGAGAAGAGAGCTAAAATCATAAAGAAAGTACAGTGTAAGTAAAAGAACTGGGAAAAAATAAAACCCAGTAATCAGGTCAAATGACCCCAAAGTATGACTGTTAGTCTGCTGGTAACAGATACAGGTGTGGCTTTACTCACAGATGGCCCTCAAAGCTAAAAATATTGTGAATTCTTTTGGATTAAATAGTGGCCTATAGAAAAGATTCCAGGGGCTGGCCCAGTGGTGCAGCGGTTAAGTGCACACGTTCCGCTTTGGTGGCCTGGGGTTTGCAGGTTTGGATCCCGGCTACAGACACGGCACCTCTTGGCATGCCATGCTGTGGCAGCCGTCCCACATCTAAAGTAGAGGAAGATGAGCATGGCTGTTAGCTCAGGGCCAGTCTTCCTCAGCAAAAAGAGGAGGATTGGCAGCAGATGTTAGCTCAGGGCTAATGTTCCTCAAAAAAAAAGAAAGAAAGAAAAGACTACATGTTTCGAAACACTAATTTTAAATTAGAGAAAACAAGTGTTTAAGGCTGACTTAATACAGTAAAAGTCAGATTATTTGGTACCTTATCATCCAAAATTCTCCAGAAATGGTTATTTAAAATATTTGTCCAATACAGATCTTCCCTTCAGAAATAAGATAGATACTACTGCAAGCTGGAACGGACAAAGAACTTCTATGAAAAGCAATGAGAAAAGGTACCTACTCTGAAAAAGTCATCAATTCTATAAGAAAACTGAGAAATAAAAGGCTATTTGGCTGTTCTTACTACAGTGGGAACACCCCAAAATTTTTGTTTATCTACAAAGGAAAAATCTGTGATCCATTTAGATCTCAGTTAGGCACCAAAAATGGATGGCATGACTTTCTTCTAGGTCCTCTTCCCTTAAGAGCCATAGTGGCTTCCCCACGTTTACTTCATACCAGGCATCTTAGAACAAGCTAAGCAGGAATTTAAATTGGTAATTAACTGAAATATATTACTAACTGGCATCCCAACATGCTAAACAATACCCTTTATGTACATACTAACAAGTATTTAAGCTTTAGCAACTGGGATATTTACTTACACTAACACTTTTTGGTTAGAGTGCACTATCCAATTTTGCAGCCATTAGCCACATAGAGCTTTTTCAAGTTAAATTAGGGGCCAGCCCCATGGCCAAGTGGTTACATTCCCACGCTCCACTGTTGTAGTCCAGGGTTTTGCTGGTTCGGATCCTGGGCACCAACCTAGCACTGCTCATCAACGATGCTGAAGCGGCATCCCACAAAGCAGAACTAGAAGGACCTACAACTAGAATATACAACTATCTACTGGGGGACTTTGGGGAGGAGAAGAAGAAGAAGAAGAAGCAAAAAAGAAGATTGGCAACAGATGTTAGCTCAGGGCCAATCTTTGGGAAAAAAAGTTTTAATTAATTAAAACTAAAAATTCAGTTCCTCAGTAACACTGGTCATATTTCAAGTGCTCGACAGCCATGCAACTACTGCATTAGACGGGCATTTTCATTTTTACAGTAAGTTCTCTCAGACAGCACTGGTTTAGAGAGTATTTAGTTTATCCATTACACATTTTGAGGAAAATGTAACTAGACATACTGGCTTATCAGCTGTTCCACATCCCAAAATTAGAATTTGCACTGTTAGCAAATATTTATAAAATAATTACACTACTTCTGCAAAAAACGTTGGGTTTACCATGATACAAATGAAAATTACTGTGTGATTACTCCAAGCTCCTAAAAAATGAGTCTTTAAAATAGTGAAGTAACAATCACCTTGACATTATTAACTGCATTGCTTTAAAAATACTTCTGCTACCCAAATGTCCTTCAGTTGATGCATAGATAAAATGTGGTACAGCGATAAAATGCAAAGTTATTTGAATACTGATACATGCTACAACGTGGATGAATCTTGAAAACATTACGCAAAGTGAAAGAAGCCATACATAAAAGACCACATACTGCATGATTCTATTTATATAAAATATCCAGAAAAGACAAATCCAGAGAGACAGAAAGCAGACTAGTGGTTGTTGGTGGTAAAGGGAGGGTGCAATGGGGAGTGATGGCTAACGGGTATTTTTTTGGGGGGGTGAAGGAAATATTCTAACATTAGATAGTGACGGCTGCACAACTCTGTGAATATATTAAAAACCACTGAACTGTACACTTTAAAAGAGTGAATTTTATCGTATGATAATTATATCTCAATAAAGCTGTTAAAAAACATTCTGCTAATAATCAAATAAATGCATCTCTAAAAGGACTCTTTCCCTATCAGTTTGGCAAAGATTTAAAAGACTCAAAATTGGTAAAGATGAAAGAAAACAAGAATTCCCATTCATTGCTGTAGAGAATATACTGTGGAATACAATTTCTGAGGGCAATTTGATAATATATATCAACATGTTTAAAAATAGAGATATCCCTTGGGCTTAATACTTTCAGAAATAATGGGACAAATGGACAAAGCAGCATATATAGAGTTGTTGATTGAAATATTTTAAACGGTGAAAAACTGGAGCTAGCTTTAAAGACAATCAATAGCGAGGTGGTTAAAAAATTATGCCACAATCATAGAATGGAATACCATGGAGCTGTTAAGGTAAGGTAGACATATAAAGTAGTATATATGGATAGGAAGATATTCACAAAATATTAAATGAAAACAAAAAATTGCTTTGTATAACAGCATGCATAATTTGATTTCACTTTAAAAATATGTTTAGATGTGCAAAGAATAAGTGTGGAAAAATATGTACACCAAACTCAACAATAATCATCTCTGGGTAATAGATAATTACTTACTATCTACATCTTTGTTCAGAAATTTTTTTACAGCAAGCATATAGAACTTAAAATTGTAAACTGTATTCATGATCAAAGGTCATACATGTTTCTATAAATGCTAACTGGGAAATTAAAAATCAAGCAAGGAAAAATTTATAAAGTAAGAGGGGAAAGAATGCCCTCAACCCTACAAAATCCTATCTCTAGAAGTAGCCACTGTGAATGTTTTGGTCCTTTCAGATCTTTTCCTTCATATATAGAAATATAATGGCACGTACATAATTTTTATTTTTCTCAAAAGTGGGATCACACTAAATATATTATTATGCAACTTGAATTTTTTCACTTAATCATATATCTGGATATATCTTGTTCCATGTTAGTGAGTGTATATTTACATTACTCTTCTTAAACCTTGCATAGTATTCCATGTTATTGTTTGGATCACTTTTTTAGTCAGAAAAGATGAAGCTACTTTTGTTAAAAACAAAAACCTAAGGGGGCTGGCCCCGTGGCCGAGTGGTTGGGTTCACGTGCTCTGCTGCAGGCGGCCCAGTGTTTCGTTGGTTCGAATCCTGGGTGCGGACATGGCACTGCTCATCAAACCACGCTGAGGCAGCGTCCCACATGCCACAACTAGAAGGACCCACAACGAAGAATATACAACTATGTACCGGGGGCTTTGGGGAGAAAAAGGAAAAAATAAAAATCTTTAAAAAAAAAAACAAAACAAAAACAAAAACCTAAGGAATTATGCAACCCATTAGTCTTGAGTGCCCCCTACTGGAGGTTCTTCACTGATATTAACAAAACGCTAAATTACAAATTAATGGCAAGAAATAATTCAAAGACAGGACAGTATGATTTTCAGCATACGGCAAAAAAAAAATCTAAAAACTCAAAAGAAAAGATGTTTTGAAATGATTTTATCAAGAAGTTCTTTCTTTCTTTATGATGTATTATAGGTATGTACTAAGGACTCTCTAATGGGGGTAAAGATAAGAAAATCAACTTAAGCAGTTTGAACTTCTCCCATTTCCCTCCCAGACAAGCATGTATATTTGTGTCAGTGGTGGGATAAGGTTGCAGAATGGGAAGTGATAGCAAACAGGCAGTAAAAAAAAAAAAAAGAGTTTTTCCTCACTCCTTTTTCTCTTTACTTCTACGCTTATTTTTACCTCTCTCTTCACAATTCAAATCTAGAAGTTAGCTCCATCTCCACACATCTAGGTTATTTATAACATGTAATTTTTCTATCTGTCTGAGTCTGTGATTTTAGACTATGTGATAATCAAGGACTCAGAGTAAAAGAAAAATGGGGCTATTGGAAGAGCTTACCTGAAAAAATCAAGTATATTCAAAGAAAACACTGCAATTACCAAAGGTGGCATTTCTTTATCAAAGTCCATTTTAAAAATATGGCATCTTGATTATGCTTGTTATTTTCCAGGAAAACTGATAAACAACACTTACAAGTGGATTTTTTACAGAAACCAAACCAAAACAAACATACATTCAAAATTCTATGTCTATATTGTTTGCTTTTAGTCAAGCAAACTCTATTTTGCTATTTCTAGACATTAATGTTTTATACAATCTTGACTTTACCAGAAAATCCTCTTAACTAATAATACTTACAGCTAATCTGTGATTATTTGCAAGGCTGATCATTTGCTGGGCTAGGCCATTTAACAATCGAGTACGAAGGGATAGGTCATCTAGGTCATGACGAAAAGGAAAAGCAATACCATCCACTATCACTAATCGAACCTAAATACAGAAGAGATAATATGAGGTTTGGTATTAAAAAGAAAATAATAAAAATGGCATACAAAAGCATAGACTATTGCAGAAAAAAACCCCTTAAAATCTAGGGTTCTACTTCCAAATCTCCAAAGGTTTTATTTTGGAGAGTTATAAATGTATTCATTCAATGCTTTCTGCACTAATCACCAATAATTAAAATGTACTCTGGTTTGATAATTTATCAACTTAAAAAAGTAATTCAACAAAAAGAAAAAGGAACAATTACAATTTTCTTATAATTTGCCACTAAACAGTCTACAGAGGTATTTTATACTGATACAAAGCACATTTGAAGTTTTAGTAAAGCAAATTCTCAATTAAATATGTCACTTTTACCTCCAGGATTCTTTTTATATTAAAAAAAACCTATTCAAATATTAAATTATAATATCTTCTTCAAAAACTTAATTCTTGGTATTCTTTTTCCCTTAACTTTAAATATACCATAGGGCAATTAACCATTACAGACTCTGTTATAACACAGAATTCATCTTGAGGCAGGTTTGTCTTAAATTCCAATCAAGGAAGTTTACTTATAGATGATAAACATTTTCATAACAGTTTCACTTTACTCAGCCATAAAAAGGAATGAAGTACTGACACACGCTACAAAGTGGATGAACTTTGAACACATTATGCTAAGTGAAAAAGTCAGACAAAAAAGGTCACATATCATGATTCCATTTTTATGCAACATCCAGAATAGGTAAATTCATAGAGACAGAATGCAGATTGGTGGTTGCCAGGGGCTTTGCAGGGAGGGAGGAATAGAAGGCAAATCCTTAATGGGTATAAGTTTCCTTTTAGGGTTATGAAAATGTTTTGGAACTAGATCGAGGTAGTGATTGCACAACATTATGAATGTACTAACTGCACTGAATTTTCACTTTAAAATGGTAAATTTTATTAGGTGAATTTAACCTCAATAAAAACCTGAAACCAACAAAAGCTTTCTGTAAGACTCAACTGGCTATATGGTATTTATAGTAGAGTACTGTACCTTTTATTATTACTTTTAAATGGTTTATATCAGCAACTTTATAATAAACTTACGTATGTATATATGTGTGTACATTTTTTTCCTGGAAAGCCAGTCATTAAACATTTACCAGCATACCAAGAGAAGAAAGAAGAATCAGATTATATATATATTTATTCAGTGGTTCTCAAAGGCCAGAAGGTGGTAGGATGACGTATTCACATTGTTGAAAGAAAAAAACTCCCAATGAAAAACTGTATATCTGGCAAAAGTATTCTTCAAAAATGAAGCAGAAATTAAGACATTACCAGGTAAACAAAAAATGAGAGCTCATCACTAGTAGATCTAGCCTACAAGAAATGCTAAACAGAGTCCTTCAGGCTGAAATGAAAGGACACTAGTTAGTAACTCAAATCCACACACAGAAATAAAGAACACCAGTAAATATAACTATGTAAGTAAATCTAAAAGTCAGCATTAGGGGCCAGTCCAGCGGCAGAGCGGTTAAGTGTGCATGTTCTGCTTCGGTGGGCCAGGGTTCACCGGTTCAGATCCCGGGTGCAGACATGGCACCACTTGCCAAGCTATGCTGTGGTAGGCGTCCCACATAGAAAGCAGAGGGAGATGGGCACAGATGTTAGCTCAGGGCTAGTCTTCCTCAGCAAAAAGAGGAGAACTGGCAGCAGTTAGCTCAGGGCTAATCTTCCTCAAAAAATAAATAAATAAATAAATAAATAAATAAATAAATAAATAAAATAAAAGTCAGCATTAATGTTTTAGTTTGTACCTACTCTTACTTTCTTTTTTCTTTCTTTTTTTTTCCAGGAAGATTAGCCCTGAGCTAACTGCTGCCAATCCTCCTTCTTTTTCTGAGGAAGACTGGCCCTGAGCTAACATCCGTGCCCATCTTCCTCTACTTTGTTTTACACGTGGAATGCCTACCACAGCAGGGCTTGCCACGTGGTGCCATGTCCGCATCCGGGATCTGAACTGGTGAACCCTGGGCCACCAAAGCGAAATGTGAGCACTTAACTGCTGCACCACCAGGCCAGCCCCTCTTATTTTCTTTTTTATTTAAAAGACAGCTATATAAAACAGTAATTATAAACCTATGTTGATGAGCATCCAATGTTTAAAGATGTCATTTGTGACAATAACAACATAAAGGAGGATAAATGGAGCTATATAGCAGCAAAATTTTTGTATACTGGCGAAACTAAGTTGGTATTAATTCAAACTAGATTACTATGAATTAAGATGTTAATTGTAATCACCAGGGCAACTAAGAAAATAGCTTAAAAATATACAGTAAAAGAAAGGAGAAAAGAATCAAAATTAAACACTAGAAAATATCTAACAAAAAAAAAGAAGGTAGTAATGGAGAAACTGGGAAACAAGATATAAGACATATATAAAACAAATAGCAAAATGGCACAAGTGCCTTCTTATAAGTAAGAAGATAAAATGTAAAGGGATTAAACTCTCCAATTAAAAGGCAGAGATTGGCAGAATGGATTTAAAAAATGATCCAACTATAGGCTTTCTACAGGAGATTCATTTTAGGTCCTAAGATACAAGTTAAGAATGAAAGGATGGAAAAAGATATTCCCTGAAAAAGTAACCAAAAGAGAGTTGTAGTGGCCATACGAATAACGGATAAAAGAGACTTTAAGACAAAAATTGTTATAAGAGATGAAGAAGGACATTGTATCATAATAAAAGGGTCAATCTATCAAGAAGACATAACGATTATAAATATATATACCTAACAAGAGCATCCTAAAATATATAAAGCAAAAACTGACAAAATTAAAGGAAGAAATAAGACAGTTCTGTGGCTGGCCCAGTGGCCAAGTGGTTAAATTTGCGTGTTCCGCTTCAGTGGCTCAGTGTTTTGCTGGTTCGGATCCTGGGCATGGACATGGCACTGCTCATCAAGCCATGCTGAGGCAGCATCCCACATGCTACAACTAGAAGGAGCCACAACTGAAAAAAAAAATACACAACTGTGTACCAGGGGGCTTTGGGGAGAAAAGGAAAAATAAAATCTTAAAAAAAAAAAAGACAGACAGACAGTTCTACAATAATAATTGGAGATCTCAACACCCCACATTCAATGATGGATAGAACTAGACAAAAGATAAACAAGGAAAGGGAAGACTTAGGAACACCATAAACCAATTAGAACTAACAGATATATATATAAAACCCTCCACTCAACAAGAGCAGAACATACATTCTTCTCAAGTGCACGTGGAACATTCTCCTGCACAGACCAGACGTTAGGTCACAAAATAAATCTCAATAAATTTACAAAGATAGAATCATATAAAATATCTTCTCAGACCAGAATGGAATGAAATTAGAAACAAACAGCAAAAGGAAATTTGGAAAATTTACAAATATATGGAAATTAAACAACATACTCTTAAATAACCAATAAGTCAAAAAAGAAATAACAAGGGGAATTAGAAAATACTTAAGAATGAATGAATATGAAAACACAATATACCAAAACTTATAGGATGCTATGAAGTGCTCAGAGGAATCTGTATAGCTCTAAACAACTATATGTAAAAAAAAAGAAAGAGAAAGATCTCAAACCAATAACCTAAACTTATGCAAAACTAGAAAAAGAACAGCAAACTAAACCCAAAGAAAGCAGAAGAAAGGAAGCAATAAGATCAGAGTGGAAATAATCAAAACAGACAAGAGAGAAACCACAGGGGAAATCAATGAAATGAAAAGTTAATTCTTTGAAAAGATCAGTAAAATTGACAAACCTTTAATTAAACTAACTAAGAAAAAAAGAGAAAAGACTCAAATTACTCAAATCAAGAATGAAAGTGGGGTCACTGCTACCAACCTTATAGAAATAAAAACAATTAAAGAGAATATAATGAACATTCATATGTCAAAAAATTAAATAACCTAGATGAAATGGACAAATTCATTGAAAGACACAAACTACCAAAACCGACTGGAGAAACAGAAAATCTGAATAGACCTATAACAAGCAAAGATACTGAATCAATAATCAAAAACCTTCCAACAGAGAAAAGATCAGGACCAGATGGCTTCACTGGTGAATGCTATTAAATGTTTAAAGAATTTACACCAATCCTTCTCCAAATTTTTCAAAAAATAGAGGGGGGAACACTTCCTAACTTACTCTATGAAGCCAGTATTACACTGATACCAAAGCCAAAGACATCACCAGCAAAGACAACTACAGACCAATTACAGATGCAAAAATCCTCAATAAAATACTTGCAAACCGAATTCCGCAGCATATTAAAAGGATTATATACCATGATCAAGTGGGACTTAATCTGGGAATGCAAAGGTGGTTCAACATAGGAACATCAATCAATGAAATACACAATATGAATGATGTGGGGGAACCCACATGATCATCTCAATTGATGTAGAAAAAGCATTTGACAAAACCCAACACCTTTCATAATAAAAACAATCAACAGACTAGGAATAGAAGAGAGCCTCCTCAACCTGAAAAGGAGCCCACAGCTAATATCATAAAGTCAATTCCCGTAATTTGCAGTTACGTTCTACAAAGTCACCAGGAAAGCTGGATGAGGGAATATTGAACCATTGCTCCTAGGGGAAATAGAGGGTTAAGTTTCTGCGAGCTTCTGGTCACATTTTTGTTAACTGATCAATATAAAACCTTATGTGTATTTCTATTTAAAGACATTTAACATATATCGTTGATTCACTAACACTGAAGTTGCAGCCAACAGCACCATAACTCATGCAGGAACGATGCTTATTCTAATGTATGTATTTTCTCCCTAACACAGATCACAGCCTTCTTGCACTTAGGAACAACAGATAGCACTTCAGAATGATGCTTGAGGGCCATGTTAAACAGTAAAATCACCAACAAAAGCACAAAAATAAAAAAAAATATGGCATTAAATAAATCATGAAGAGGACCCTGTTTACAGTAGGAGAACTGAAACAA